CAGAAAAACGTACAAAAAATGTCAAGGGAAAAATCCTGATGTCCATTTAAGTTAGCAGCAGCTCAAGCACAGGTAGTGAAACACTGCAAAAGTCCACACCATCTTCTCAATATACAGGAATATATCCTTTATATTGTGTATATATCAATATACATCATCTATTTTTGTTGTGCATATGTTATGAAGAATATTATCAAGAATGAAGTCAGTACGTGGAAATTTCAGCATTTACACTGAGTACATAAAACTTAAACAGATGCAAAGTCATGAGCTGTTCTAAATTACTTTCTTCCATACTGTATCAGAAATTACTTTCACCATTTTACAGTGAAATAAATACAAAACCTCACTGTAAAATTACAGGTTTTGTTCAACAGCATTGGCAAGGAGTGATAATATTAACAATAATAAACCTTCTCAAGCAATTAAGGAGCTAAAGATGACAGATTCAATCAGCTATTCTGATCTCTTCAGTTATTCAATGCAGTAACAAAAGCATATCTAGATTTGATTTAAGTGAGAAGTAACACTATTACAGAAAATCTGGATGTATAATGTGACCTTGGACAGAAGGATCACAAGAGCTCCATTTAAATTAACTGGAAATATAAAAAAAGCAAGTCCACACTAGATTTCAACAAGGAAAACAGACAGCTTTGATAAACTCTATTAGTAAAATCAGATGGACTGAGGATGTCAGGGACTTCACTGTAAAGTAGGTCTGGAATTTCTCCAAGTCAGAGGTGCCTAGGGTATAAATACTGAAATTATATTTTCAGTAATTAGGAAGACTTGTATTAAGGGGCATTGTAGCTAATGGATGAATGAAGGAAGATACTAAGAATAAGTGGAGAGCCTGGAAAGGAATAGAAGAGAGAACAAAACGTTAAAGGAATGCAAGCTTCTTAATACCAGACACTGATAATTTTCACATATCCTTGCCCTTCTGAAAAAAAAAAAAAAAAAATCAAGCCACGACATATTTTGCTGTGTGTTAAAAGAAAAATATATATATTTATTTTTCTATATAAATAAGAAAATAAAGACAGAGAAAGAAAGGGCACAATGCATTTGACACAGTGTGAAAACTAATACAGGTAGGATCTCAAATTTAAGTGAATGCTTTGTCCAAGTTACCAGCAAGAATGATAACAAAGATGTGTATTATAGCAGGATGAATAACAAGAATGAAGGTATGGAAGCAAATTTTGCAAACAAGCCAAAAACTCAATGTACTTACAGATGTGTGAGTGGGTGGCAGAGAAGGAGACAGGTAACCATGCTAGGACTCTGAAAGATCCGAAAGCTGATGGTTCAGCTCTATATCTTCCTAAAGAAGTCAGGCATAGGAAAATATCAGCTGAAGAACAGAAGACATTGGACCTTTATTTCAGAAGTGTGGTGGGGAAGAAGAACCAAAGAAGACATGGGATTCTTATTTGCATGCAAAGCTTTACAACAGATAAATAAACAAAGATATGGAGCCAAACAGATAACAGAATAAGGACAAACTAAGGATAGGCCATGCTATTATAACTTGATGGATGTTTTTAAAAGTAACTTTCCAGAGAAAAATAAAAAGAACAACAAAACAAAAACAGAAGTGGTACTTCTCATCTGCTTGAGAAGTGTTTGATACAATGCCATGTAGGAAATAATTAATTAATGGAAGAACAAGTCTACTGGAAGTATTAAAAGGGAGGAGAAATAGCTAGCAACAGGTCATGCTGAAAAGTAGTACTGTCTCTAGAAAAGAGGTTGTGTTCCTCACAGGTTGGCCCTAGCACTTTCACGAAAAACCTCAGTACAAAGCAGCAGGGAGTCCTTATGCAAACATGCAGAAAACATGAATTTCAGAAGTACTATTAACACCAACAAGACCTGAGACAGCAGAAAAAAAAGAAAAAAGAAAAAAAAAAAAGGCACCTGAACAAATTGGGAACCCTCCTTTCCATACCTGCGTGGCTTTAATGAGCTTGTATGGGACACAGCCCCATACAAACAGCAGCAGGTGCTGTGGGGCATAAGCTCTCATTGTTGCCTGTGCGCTTCTCAACAAGAAGCCTCCCCTGAAGCTTTTTCCCCACAAATGATAAACTTCAGCACTTGCTCCCTACAAATCTGTACCCATTGCGTTGACTGGCCTGGGCCTCTGTGCATGCACAAGTACCACCAGTAGGACTGAAGGAAAGATCTGAGCAGGTAACTGAAAGAAAAATCCCATGGAAATCAAACACTGAAGAAATGCTAAGGCATAATATAGCAAGCACGTCTCCGTTTGTGCTACCACAAAATGAAGGGTTCATTTTCCAGTTATTTACATGGTTACAAAACAAAGCTACAGTTTACAGCTGGAGACTTTCAGAGTGATTCAAACTATGTAAAAGGATCCAGCAAAATAATTTCAGGAGCTGTCTGATGATTTAAGCCAACTGAAGTGCCATACACTTCATTAAAATTACCTTCACAGGATCTAGAACTATTTTAAGAGGTAGTGGAGTCTTTTAGTTAGTAAAACATTCTGCTTTTTTTTTTTTTTTTTTTCTCCCCCAAAAGGTTTATTTCCAATAAGTGTCGTGAGTTAAAAATATGCCTTTATCCTGACTGTTTCATATTAAATAACAAAGCACATTTATTAAGGGGGGAAGAAAAAATAAATAAAGAAAACTTGGGGGGGTGGTATCTGAAGAGGCCTTTTTCCAACTGTCAACGCTCTGAAGCTGAGTAATAATGCAGCCGTGGGGTTGCCATGGGAACACGTTTCATTTCCTAGGTGACAGCGATCCTATGTCGTCACCGGCGAACCGCGCCAACTCTGGCAATGTGGCGAGCTTCCTCCGGCTGCCGGCATCCCGGCACTTGGCCCGGGTGGACCCAGAGGGCTGTCTCCACTCCTACACTGCCACGGCCTGCGCAGCTCCAGCCGCTGAACCCACACAGCTCTTGCTGCCCTGGGGAGCATGGCCTGGTTTGGCCACAGCTCCTAGAAATGTCGATCTGGAGACCCTTGAAAAGAGCAGATCCCCCTTTTCCTTCCCTAGCTTGTTCCATTGCTCAACTGACCTTGTGCGGGCATGTTTTCATCCTCAATTTGAACAGCCCTTGGTAAGGCCCATTGGCAGGCCTTCTTTAGAAACCTCAAAAAGCCTTGGGTCAAGGTACTAAGGGACACATTATTTAAATCAATTCTTTCTGAATCACTCATACTCATAACCAATGTTTAAAAATAAGCATAGGGCTCAAAGATCTGTTACACTAAGATAGCTTTTAAGATGAAGCCTTTGGTTGTATGACCAAAGACCCCTCTTGGGGTCCCCCCCCACATGGTCCCCAGCACAACCACACAGTGTGACCAGCAGGATTCACCTGCCTGTGAAAACCAGAGAAGGCAAATAGGGTAGAATAACTTCTCCATAACAGCTCTTCAGTGCTCATGCACTAGTCCAAAATAAGCAACTCTGATTCGGTAACAATTATTCTGCTCTGGAAGCACAGTGATTATTTTATTCTGGGATAATTACTCCACTTCCAAAGTGAAATAATTGTTACAGAATAAAATCATTTTTTATTTTGGAATATTTCATCCACGTGTGGGAGTTATTCTGGAACAGTTAAATTATACCCTAATAGCTAAAAGAGAACAGTCCTGCCAGTCAATTTTCCTCAAGAAGGTGAATCCTGAACCTGTGGTGCCACTAGAAGGCACAGAATGGAAGATCTTGTTGCAGAACTGAAGACCCCTGCCATTTCATTTAAAGAACCCACATTGGTTTACAAGGAAAACAGCTCATAATTCCCCTAAATCATCTACACAGAAGTCACTGAAGGAAATCACAAATACATCAAGGGATTTCCAAAGAATGCTATGGGTATTACAGCTGACACATGCCTCAACACAGGATATGCCATACTACTGATGCTGTTGAATGCCTTTTCCTCTTCACACATGGTCAGAAATTGTTGCCAAGGTTTACACCAGAGTAAATCCTGCCTGCAGAGGTAAATGTTGGTAGCAATACACAATACCACCACTTGACTTCTGAAGGAACTGGGGGCATGCCCTGAACTTTGCATCCATCACCTGTCACCTGTCCTAGACAATTAGCTTAGCTGGCTGTACAATTTAAAGCTCCTTTATTTGAATCCATACATTCAGAATCTCTTTTGACTTTGCCCTGTGCTTTCCTAACACAACCCACTCTTGGGAAACTAAGAATGTATTTCAGTATAAGCACTATTTTTTCACAGCAAAAATTTAAAATTGGGCATTAAACTAGCCAAAGAAGTCAGGAGGCTTAAAAGTTTAGGTTCCCACAGCAACAGTAATTCAGCCACACTTAAGATATATAGCAGAGCATAAATTAACAGTTATTGAAAATACTGCATATGTGCAATGTGGCCATGTTAACATTGCTATGGGAACATTAACTTTTGAATAGATAAGCACTCTACCAAAATAAAAACCATACAAGAAAAATAATCATTACAGATTTTGCTGGAAAAGACTACAGCCAATTCCTCATCTGCAATCTGTTGATGCCAAGCATAAGGACTCTAAAACTCAGAAAACCAAACAGGTGAAAAAAACATCACTAAAAGCACTGGGTGCCAGGGCCATAACCATGGCTGACACTGACACAGTAGCTTCATTTTGCATTTGAATTTGTGATCAAACCATATGTAAAACTATCCCAGAAATCACAACAGAAAATAAATAAATAAATAAAAGCCCATGTACAGCTATCACCCTTTCCTCTTTTCCTCTAATATTTTTGATACACTAAATATTGTGGAAGAACAGCCTGTAAGTTTGCTACTTGCTTTAGTTTTTTCCAGCATATTTCAATTTAAAAAATAATTAAAAAAATCAAGCTGGGTTCTCTTATTTATTATTTTGATATCAGCAAGCGAGCTTTGTCTTTCCCATATTATTTTAACTGACCCCAGAGTTTTCAGTTCAAAAAAGTTTAATTTGAGATTTTTCATGTTTTTATACAAACCTGAGTACAGCAAGGCCACCAAGAAGCCTTACTCTCCAATGGACTGGATGTTTCTTGGGAGTAAAAAAGGAACATTCTTCTCCTGGTTCTACCATTTCCTCTGATTCTCCATGCTGCATGATCTTGGGCAAACCAAGCTCTCTTCCCTACACTTCAGTTCTTGATCTGTGAAACAGGAATAATGACACTCACCTTCTTTTTTATGCACAGGTCCAGAGCTTTAACTAAGTATATTTTCCTCTCCTGTTTAGAAGAGCAACAAAACCTTCAAAGCAGTCCTTTCACAATATTTGAACAGAATTCCAGCAGCATCTACAACAATTGTTCTGCAAAGAATTCTGCCAACTTGCCACCTACATAATGATAAACAGACCAAGAGCTCCTCTCTTCCCCTCCACCCTTTTGTTGCTTTCTGGCGTATATGGTTAGTCCCATCCAAAATCCTGTAGAACAAATTTCCTCCCCAGAGTGACCACAGGATCACCAAATACTGTGAACCATCAAACAGAGCAAGTTCCAGAGTCCTGGAATTGTAAACACTAGATAAATAAGTATTCTCTGATTTGAGTTAGTGTGACAAGTCTTCTCTCTGATATCCTGGCATGCACACTTGGAATTGTACTGACATCAGCAGGATTTCCTTGCTCGTAGAAAAAGCAGGACATTGGCACCGAAACAAGCCACACAGTTCAAAGGGATTCTAATCTAAATTATTTGAGGTGACCCTGGTTTCTTGGCATTTATAGCATATTCTTTATGAAGATTATGTGGGCATATCACTTGAACATGTTTTCTGTGTATCAGTAAGATTTTACTCAGGCCATAAACTTGTTTTTCTTTAGAGAGATTTAGGAGAAAGGAAGAAAAAAAAAAAAAAAAAAAAAAAAAAGAAAAAAAAAAGAAAAGAAAAGGAAAGGAAAGAAAGGAAGGTTACAAGTTAAAATGCCAATACAAAATAATGCTGGCTTTTACAGAGACAGAGATACATGCTTAAAACAGGTACTGACATCCTTTACCATTAAATGGGAGACAGGCAGACAGCAAATTTTGCCTGCTACATGGACAAATGAGTTTCTCAAAACAAACAGCCACTTTACTGTTTTGTCAAATTGGAAGCATTTAAGCTCCTTGATACCAAAAAAACAGTGATGCCATATATTCTTCCTCCAAACTCTCACAGGCAGAGTACTGTATTTGCTAGAGCAATGAGACTGCTCATTGCTCTATGCCTGCATCTTCTATGACTGCATCATAGAAGAAATGAGACTGCTATGAATGGAGTTTGTGAAACAGAAAGTTTAGGTGGAAGAATTGTATTTTCAAACCCTATTTATGAGTTTATCTAAGAAGCAGAGAAAGCATGGGTTTATTTGAAATTCCTGCCATTTCAAGATGTTTGCAAATACCCTTGAATGAATTACAAAGTGCTTTGACAACCAGCTGCTTTCTGCATTTAGTCATCCTTCCTAAATGGTAACCTGCACGTGTTTCAGCCTACACACCTATGAGCAGTACGCTGACACCACTCTTTCGCTGTAGCCAGCACACACACTGCCCCTGCTTGCCTTGATTCCAGCCCAGCCTCACAGCGTGCAGGACACTACTATTTGGACAGCCCCTGTTGCTGCCAGATTGCCTCCTGAGACAGCTCTCTTCTTACCTGCTCCTCCTACGTACTCAGAATGTCCTCATGCATTGTTGCATCTCAGAGGTTACCTCAGCTGTGATTAAGTCCCATGTTTGCTCACTCAGTCCACAGAGTGAGAAAAAAAGTCATCACATCTGCTAGCAAAGCTCGCTAACAACTTCAGTTAGTCTGAAGTTACTTAAACTATTCTTCGTTCATCAGTAGATCTTACATGAACTCTTTCAGGCAGTAATTTTTTGAATACTTCCTCATCTCATACTTTGGATTAATATATCAGTAACATCCCTAGACTTAAAGTCTCACATTTACAACAGACAAGAATTATTTAGCTTGGTTTTCTCTGACAGCAACACGAGTCTCTGACAAAGAAGATCCTTCCATGTATTTCGTGTTTTGTATGACAACATCGATCAGTTTGTCACAATTTTGTAACTACTGATACCACTTCCGCCGTCCCAGTGTGTTTTCAGCCATTACTCCTGCTCTCACTCCATTCTCAGAGACACCTTCCAATCCCAGCACATATAAAGCACTTTTCTCTGCTATCTGACATACTCTGGGAAGTATAGTGCAACGACACCCTCCTACTAGTCTGCAAGTCCCCTGTTCACTTCAGCATCCATCACTGGTATGACGTACATGCTGTTTAAAAAAAATGAATATTTCTTAATAAACTGCTTCCAGATTCCAGCACTAATCCAGCACTGCCCTCTGTCCTACATATAACATTGTGACTTTTGGTAAAAATGACTTCCTGCTAGCTCTTGCTACCTCAAATAACCACCTTATAGCATTCAAACATTTAAAATAGATAGACAGCCTCATTTTTTCTCTTGCCCTTAGTTTTCTTTTTCCTTTCAACCCCATCCCTTGTTAAATGCAAGCTAAAAATAGCTCATGACCATTTCAAGCTACTCTCCCTCTCAATGGCATAACATAGTAAGAGCCAGAGCACTGTTAGTGAGACAGATTATACATGCAAACACGGTGCTCCATTGGCTAGATGCAGATGGGTTTGATTTTTAACCTTGCCTAAAAGCCACATATCCTGTATGCAAACCTTTCTGTTCATTTGTTTTATTGAGTATCCAAATGCATGACACTAAAATGTTAGTGAAAAAAAAAAAGAGTTGTTTTTGAAATGTCAATAACATTAAGCTTTGCCAAGATAGCACTAAGTGCACAATGATACGTATCTTAATATACACAAATTCTAGTGAGCATCAGAAAACTGGAAAAATCCACATCATCTTACAGGTAAACTCAGTGCAGGCTTGGTTCCCTTCAGCTCTCATTCCATATTGCTTCACAGTGCTTCTACCGTAATAGCATATTGCTGTTCTAAAATTATTTGGAGATATTAACAAGGATTGCACAAAGTCCAGATAACGTTTCCATTCCGCATATCATTTAACTGTATGTTTCTTCTATCAGCTGAGTTATCTAGCCTCCTTTTTGTTTTGTTGTCAATGTCAACGATGGCAAATATGGAAGTTATGTTTATTTACCACCTGGTCTAATTCTTTATTGGCCAGCAACAAATTCCAAACTACAGCACACAACTGGAAACAACCCCAGAAGGCTCTTAAAGAGCTCAGAATTTCAGACAACAGAGAGAATCACTGACACATTCAGGATAGTCTCATTTGCGTCTGGTATCCAAGTTTCTTCTTTCTCAAACTCCAAAGAGGTAAATGAAAGGGAACGCTGGAAATCCTCCGAAGAACTGAACAGTTTTCCACAATCTGGTTGTTACATGATCCAAGTCTCAAATAAAGCTTACAAAATGTACAGGAACAAGTGAATGACAGAATTTTCCTTCATGAATTAAATTATTTTTATGTCATTCAAGATGTTTTCCATCATCTAAAAGTAATGCGATATTTCTTGCTCACTCTGTCCCAAGAATACAATTTGCTTTCCCATCTTCCCTTACAATTGTGGTTGGTGTCAATAACTGTGAACGAGTAATTAAATAAAGATGACATGAATAAATCCACACAACTCAAAAGATGATGTACCATCACCAACCAAAGTCAGTCACAAAACCCACTACAAACCAAACCACAGCAGTTTGGCAGCAGCATACCACTAAATTTACTAAAATCTATTTCTGCTTTAAAAAGAACTACACTAACTACCATATCTCAGACAGCTAGGCCTGCAGACCTGTATCTGTTACATGTCTACTTGATGAGAAAAGGACCAGAAAGAAACTTCAAATATGACCTTGCTCTCTGCATTATTAAATTTTATCCCATTTCTACTGTTATTGAAGCCCTCGAGATAGTTCATTTATCTCTGTGTGATAGCCTAACCTTCCTCTGTATTACAGTGCTTCTCAACTTTGTGCCATCATCCAATTTCATCATTACTCACTATTTTTGTGCCTGAGGTCAATATCAAAAATTACACGCAGGAGGCCCAAGACCAATCCTCAAGGAATTCCACTAGTAAATCCCTAGCAAGGGCTGACGCTTCCTTCATCACTGCCTGCTGCCATCACAACTATATTGAGATCCTGGTGCATCATCTAATGCCCATTCCTTTATATTTCCTTCTGGCTAACCAAAACTTCTCTATGGGGCACTGTACTAAAACTTCTACTTTACAGTCTATGGAGACAGCATCACTGTTTTCTTCTCCTTTCAGTGTGGTTAGACATCCACCTAGCCACAGAGCAATAGACTAAGACCAAGTTGCTGGTTCCCCCAGCAAAAGCACTACTCTTCTGGCAGAGGGCTCACGTGCAGGAGGACCACCACTTGCAAATGTTCCTTTCACTGAAGTGCTCACACACATCACTGCACAGCCACAGGGGGTGACTGCTGTGAGCTGGGTGAGCAGATGGGGGGGAAGCATCCCCAAGCACAGCACCCAGGAAAACTCCATTCAGCTAATGATAACTGCCACCTTCCTCCTGCCTCACCTGACCCATCTTCCGCTCTTTTTGGTAACAACTAGTGCAACCCTCACTACAGAAGAGGTGTAATGTGTGATTATTTACCTGCTTCCCACCAAAACAAACAAACAAACAAAACATAACCTAAATCTTCAAAGCAGCAACAACCCAAGTCTTGCCCCTGCTCAGCATGAGATGACATCAACTCGAGGGAAGGTTTAGTTAACAAACAGGATAAAGCCAGACACCAGTAAAGAAAAACCATCTAACCAACAAACAGCTGGTCCTGACCAAGCTGTCAGTAAACAGAGAGTTGCTTTCAGCTCTTGTAGGCACAAGGCAGGATCAAGCCCCAAGACTGCAGCATGAAAACTGTGAGACAGTTGTTTTTAATTATTTACCCATTCTAATCCTCTTTATTGAAAACATTTTAAGGATTAGAATATATGACATTGACCTAGCCATGAACTACAACAAGAGTAGATTACTCACTACAGTTATATTTTCACTGCCAATATAATTTTCAGAATCCTTTTATTTTATGAAATTTTGGGGAGTTTTAACCAATCCAAAAGAGAATTTCCACATCCATCCCATATAAATGATTGCTTGTAGTAGGGATAAATCGTCTTACCTTGCATAACTTTCCACAAAATAAACAAATGTCTCAAAACATCATTTTTTTCAAAATTTTTTTGTTACAAAACCAGAAAGCTACCGGCCAAGCACACAGAATACGAAGACAAACCTACCCACCTTACAGAGATCTTTCCATGTGTTTGTTTAACACTTGGAGT